CCCCAAAACCCCAAAACCCCAAATTCTATCTAATCACTATTAATGATGAAATGATTATTTTTGAAATATCTTTATTATTAAGTTTAATTAATTAAATTATATAACTTTATAAATACTCGTTAGATTGAGTTCTAAATAAATTATTGATTTATTATTATTAAACAAATGAAATTGCTCGACCCACTTTAAGGCTATAAGATTGCCTCATCTGTTATCTTCCTTTAATTGGCATTTACACTCGCTATGGTTGTCCTGATTGATAAAGGAGAGATAGAGCTTGTAAACAGAGATTATTCACTTGCTTTAATGTTTCTTGTACATGTCTGGTGCTATTTCTTTGAATATTTAGCCGTACTTATTGACCTATGCAAAGTGGATTTGGGTATTGTAAAATCGACATTAACTTTTGTAAATGCAGCTGCATACTAAGGAGCTGTATTCTACGCCCAGGTTAAATATGTTAATGCAAGTTATGACTCAGTAAAGGAACACACCCAAGAAGAAGAACTAATGAATATTAGATGCAAGCAATGGCTAATGCTAGAAATCTCATTCTACTATACATCAATCGGGTTAACTGTCCTATTTTTAGCCTTACATTCTTTGTTTGGCCTTGAAATTTCTACGCCTATCTCTTAAATTGAAAAATATGAAAAGCAATCTAATTTAGAGAATCAGACAGCAATCAATGATGAGACAAAAGAAGGGCAAAACTTACTAAAAGATACAGAAAATGATGAGGTAAAGAATGAAGGGTAAGAAGCTAATTTCTAGAACAAAATCGAGGAGGATTATGATTCTAATGACTTTTGGCATCCAGAGCAGTAGAGCAAGGACTTTCTTGAGCTGACTACAGATAATCTAAAGTATTTTCTTAACCATGGTATTATTTGTGTCTTCTCTCTTCTTGTTTTGGTAAAAGGATATTCTCCTAAAGAGGACAAAAATTACTCTTATTCCGTGATTATACTTGCTGTACTTTCAGGCATATTATTCTTCCATGTGATACTTGATCTTTTCACTAAGATTAATAAACCTAAATGGTTCAACGTTACAGGTTATATAATAGTTGGAGGAATTTTGATTGACGTCGTCTACATGATTGTGCAAATTAGCATGTTTGAACAATCAGAAAATTTGGTAAGATACTGGATTCTAATCTTCATTTTCATAATACTCGCTTACTTAATCTCTTTTGGGTTTACACTAATTGCCAAGAAAATGTAAAGATTCAGCTACATGTTTTCTGGTGACAGTAATGAATAAACATAGAAAAAGACATTGAGCCAACCATTTATGACTCACATTACTTTTAGCGTTGATATTTACTCAATTGCATTTGTAAGTTTTTACAAACTGGATGAAAAAATTCCAAGAGTAGATGTTAATAATGATGAGTCTTTTCTTAAATAAAGTCGTCAAAAATTATTAACAAGCTGGGTAAACAGAGGCTAATCATAATCTCAAAATGAGGAGATGATAGTATCTAATAGCGAAGCTAATGCTAATAAGTACTTCAGTACTTGTGCTTTCATTTTCATTGTTTAGCTTTTGCTCATCTTACTTGTAGTTTACGATATAGCTGTTTTTGATCTGCCAAGTGTAACTGTTCCAGTATTCTTGACAAGAATAACATGTGCTGCTTTATTGCATATGCAACTTGAAGGTGAGATAAGGCAAGCTATTCAGATGTTTAACTATGCCAGAGTTATGGTTTATCAGAGAAAGTACAGAATAGCTATGCTTTTAATTAGCTTGATGCAAGTAGTCTCAGCCTTCGCCACCGAGCTTTTGAGCATACTTCTTATTTGTAATCAAGACTCAGTCTCAAATGTGCTTATGAATTTCATAGCTCTTGGAGTTATAGCTGAGATTGATGATATTTATGCTAGATCTCTCTATCAAAACAATATCAAAGAGGAAATTGAAAGTGGATTCACTTTGACTATTAGAGAGGACTAGCCAGTAAGATAATAATACAAAAGGAGATGCAGAATTGAGTTTATACTTTACAAGATTTGGAGATTCCTATTTGAAATATATTATTATTACTTTATGCCATTCACTGTAATTGCAATTACTTACTTCAAGGAAATTATGGATACAAATGCTATTGAAGAGTAGATTAATCAGGTACTTTAAAATATTTAGTCATAATGATATGATAAAAGTTCATTGATTTTATTAATTTCTTGAATAATACAGAAATCAACCAATTTTCTTGAATCATGGGGTTTTGGGGTTTTGGGGTTTTGTGGTTTTGGGG